AATTGAAATCACATACTTTTGAAGACGGAATGCATGTACCATTTTTATTACATTTCACAAGACAATCATTTGGTGTAGGTGGACATGTGCCCGGTGTAATTGAAAAGTCGTCCATTGCTATGTCTCCGTCGAAGGAAGAACCAACGACACCCTCGATCAATATACGATAAACTGTACTTGTTTGATTTTTCAATGGTTCCAGTTGTACTTGGCCAACATTCCACTGATCGCCCTTGTTACCGGAGTGACTTGCTAACGGTATTTTCGCACTTCTGTTCGAATACGTCTGCCGATAAATATTCAAACTGCCAATAGTATCACCCAACATATGATAATAATATTGAAAACAATAACGTGCTGTATTATCCAGATCGGGACTAATGAGTATTGCCCGGTCACTTTCTTTAGCGGGTGATGACGTTTCCAAGTAAATGTATGTTCCATATTGCGTACCTAGAGTATGATCAGTTAATGGTCCAGTTAATACGCTTGGTGTTTCACCTCTGAATCGTATCCATTCTAATTGTCGGTCGAATTCTGAATTTTTATATGCACATAAATTTTCTTCAAAATCACAATAGCCCAATGGTGCACAATACTGATCTTTTACAAGTACATCATCAATGGCAATATCGCCTTTAAAACCTTTTCCGACAACTCCTTCAAAGATGATGTTGAACGATCGTGTTGGAACAATATTGATTTCCATTACATGCCATTCATCGCCACGATCGCCTTGCGCTGTAAACAATTTCAATGGTGTCAATGAACCAGCGCCTACTTCTCGTTTATAAACATTCAACATTCCAACTTCGGAACCATATTGATGATAGAAAAATTGTAGACAATTATATGCACTCGAGGACGAAAATGTTGGTGAAACGAGAATGGCAGCATGGCCTTGAACTTTTGGTGCACTTGTTTCAATATACATGTAATGTCCCTGTTCAGTTAGTGTAGTGTGATCAACCATGGGTCCAGTAAACAGTGTGTCGGTTGAACCTTTGTTCCTTGTCCAATTAAAATTTCCAGATACGTCCGATGTATACCCACATAAGTCATCTGATTCAAAATCGCAGAAACGCATCGACGAACATGAACCTTCGTTTGTTGCAATATCATCAATGGCAATATCTCCTGATATACCATTTCCTACTTCGCCTTCGATCACATATTGGTAATTGCCCACATTTTGTCGAAACACTCTTGCTTCTTTCCAATCGATACCTTGATCACCAGTTATTCGATAAATCAACGTCAAATTATTGGTATTTAGCGGTCGTTCGTATATATTCAAATAACCAATTGATGTTCCATAAGCATGATACCAGAAATGTAAACAGAATCCTTTGGATGAGATAGATGTAGGCGCACTAAGAAGGCGAGCTTTGTCACCAGTCTCTTGCGGATCAGAATAGCCCGTTAGTTTAATACATGGTCTTTTATGGGGTAGGGGCGTGATGTTCTATTACATCTCTCACAAAGATTTTGAGTTTTAGAATTTTTGCATCAAATATCCACACAATAAATGAATTGTAACGATGTTTCAATATACATGTACCAACCGTCGGCTGTTTGAAGTGTATGATCTAAAAGCATATGATATATATGAAACTGCAGTACGGATAGTCTCTATTTACTCACCAAAATGGGGTCCAGTCCAAACACTAGATGTTTCGCCCTGATGTCTTGTCCAGTTAAAGTTTCCTGTGGCATCTAATGTCCATAAGCATGCATCTTTTTCAAAGTTACATGATAACGGTGTATGTAGACCTAACGTTGTTGGTGGTGTTGTCGTAGTTGTACTCGTTGTAATATGACACATTGAACCAGGCAGAATGGTAATATCGTCAAGCGCTATATCTCCCATATAGCTGCCGCTGTGCACTGCTTCAAAGATGAAATAAAATTCAGACGCCATATCAACATTTGCTAAACCCAAATGCCATGTGTTTCCATGATCACGACTCACACTCCATTCGAGTTGAGGTTGTGCTTTGCCTACTCGTGTATGCAAATTTAATGTACCGATATCCTGCCCCCACAGATGATAGTAAAATGCGATACAATATTTTCCGGCATCATAGTGTTCTGATAAAAGCCATGCCCTTTCACCACTATCAAATGAATCACTCGCTTCGATGTAAATGTAAAATCCAAACGGTGTACCAAATGTGTGATCAACCGTAGGCCCTGTTCCCACAGATGGTGTTTCACCACTATTACGTAACCAATCGATCTCGTCCATTTCATGATTTGGTGCATTCAACCAGCTACATAAATCCTCTTCAAATTGACATATAGTTGTATCAGGACATTCGCCTTCTTTTACGCTTAAGTCATCAATAGCAATGTCTAAAACAATAAATTTAAATGATACAAGGATAGTAGTTGATATACAAATAATCTTACCTCCTTGCTGATTATTTTTCCCAATAACACCAGTGATCAGAATTCTGTAATTACTTGAACCCAATGCTACAGGAATATTCACACGTCCTTGACGCCAAATATTATCTGAAAAGGAAAATTTGAGGTAAGTTAAATGATGGATCGTGTGCAAGACTCTTACCTTGATCGTTTGATTTTGACCATAATGTTTTTAATCTTCCACCATCAATTTGTTGCTGTATTTGTAAGGATCCGATTCCAACCCCGTATAAATGATACCACAATCGGAGACAACGTGGTTGACTAGCCTTGAACGATGGTGATTCTAATTGAGCTTCATTACCTACCGTTTGTCCGATTGAGTTAATGTATAAGTAATGTCCAAATGCTGATCCCTGTGTATGATCTAAAGCGCATAATATTCATTTATATATTTTAAAAAATTAACAAAAAAGTCGACAAATTATTACCGATCGAGGGTCCACTGCCCGAAGATGATGTTCCATTTTTGCCTAATAACCATTCAAAATCCGCCTGAGCATTATTTTTCCACTCACACAATCCATGTTCAAAGTCACATTCATCCAATATGGGACATGAACCAGAGTTAACTTCAATGTCATCCAATGCTATATCTCCACCAAACTCACTTCCAACTAAAACATACGGAAACCTAAGCCAAGTAGTCCATCGAAAATTCACTATACGTACCAATTCCTTCAAATATTAACCGGAATGTTACAGTGCTGTCGAAATGAAGTTGTCCACGTTTCCAAACGTTGCCTTGTTGACCATTTCTTGACCAAAGTGGCTTTCGTCCATTTGTACTCTCATACAAAACATTTAATGTTCCAATATCGGCTCCAAACCTAAAGCATGACAAAAAAATTGGATAAATAAAACTGTACCAAGCTATTTTGACTTACATATGATAGTAGAAGATGAGACAACTCCTTGGTGTCGGGAGCATCATTGGACTAGCGAGCCATGCATTATCATTAGGTTGTTGGGGTATTGATGCTTCGATGTATATATAATAACCCTGACCGGTTGTATGATCACCATGTGGTCCCGTGTCGAATGATGGTGTCTTCGATGATGTACGAGTCCAATTAAACTTACCACCGTCGAGTGTCCATGAACACAAATCTTGTTCAAAATCACAATTTAAAATGTTATCTGTATCGTTCTCATTACACTTGGAGAAGAAAATATCATCTATAGCAACATCATCAGTGTCTGGTGTTGAACCAATTTGGTTAGGTACTAATTCGAATGATAATCGCCAACCGTGACTTACTACGCCTAATTGCTCACCAACTTTAACCCTTGCTCGTATCCAACGTTGATCCTGTGCTTGTGTTTGTTCCCAAAGCACAACGGTATTTGTACCTGTATTGTTTGTCGGTACTGTAGCTAATAATTTAATTGAACCAGTTTTATTCCCAGTAAACCAATAATAAAATGTTATTTCACATCGGGAACTTGCTCTCGGCAATACTGGACTACGCACCACTGCAACATCGAAAAATCCTGCAGTATCACCGTCGACGTACATATACCTGAACAGAAAATACGTTTAAGTGACCGATTTAATTGTAAATATTTAAATAGATGTAGCATACTAACCATCCCAGACCATTATTTTGTGTATGATCAAATGGCGGTGCACTCATGGTTAAAGTATTTCCAGAAGAAGATTTCGCCTGATCCCTTTGCCATGTATAATATCCTACGGATCCATCTTCCCAACCACATTGATCTAAAAAACATTTATTGATACTATTTGCCTTAATTGCTAATTTTCTAAAGTTACCTTGTTCAAAATCACATGGACCACAATAATGCTAAAAACAAGATAATTCAAAGGGTTATTATATTTTCGTATCAAGTAGTAATTTCATTCATACTTCATCTGATGCATCTGAACAATCCGCTTTGAAGTCACATACCTATGAAAAAAATATAATGAGAGTAAAAGATAAAAATTATGCACAATAAATCTTACTTTTGTTTTATCAATGCAAATCATTGAATTTGAACATTGAAATTGATTTGACGGACATGGAGTTGGAGTTGAAGTTGTAACGTTTGTTGATGGTAAACTTGACAATTGTGATGGAATACATTCAGGTGTAAATACTGTATCATCGATAGCTAAATCCGATAGAAAGCTCTCTCCAACAACACCTTCGATGAAGACCTAAAAGAATTGAGAGATTGTTTTTAATATGTAGGAATTAAGAATGCAAATCATACTTGAAATGGCTGCGAATAATTCAGCTTTAATTCATATCGAAGCCATGCATTTCCTTTGTTACCCGATACGCCCCAAAGCTTTTTTAATGGTCCGTTCGCAAACAATTTCACATAAGCATTCAATTCTCCCATATCTTCGCCATACATATGATAATGTATAATCAATCGACAAGTGGTCGTAGTTGGTTCAAACAGACGGCTCATCAAGCGAGCTTTCATTCCCGATTGCTGTGGAAACGATGCCTCGATTAATGCGTATTGACCCGTGCTAAAGCCTGTTGTATGATCTCGTGTAGGCTAAATGCAAAAAGAAACAATGCAAAACTTTATTATGATAAGTGGGGTTCAAAACATACTCCCGTTAGTTCAGTTGGTGATATGCCTCTATGTAATACCCATTTAAAATCGCTACTGTTGTCATGGGTCCAATCGCAGAAAGATACATCGAATGTACAACTACAAAACAAAAGTACATATTGATACACACTAGTTGCACATGTATGTTGAGTATTCCTTACGTTTGATATGATAAGCAAAGTTTACTATATTCATCTGAGTGATCACCGCAATCATCGGTCATATCACACAGACGTGCTTTTGCTACACATGAACCGCGGTTACACGTAAATTGAGCAGCTGTACATTTGGCAGGTACCGGTGGTAAATAACATTTGTTCATTTTAGTGGAGTCAATCGCAATAAAGCCATATGCTGATAAGGAACGTGTAGCATCAAGAGCTATTTGAAATGGAACATCTACTCGTCCTAATTCAATTCGGATTTGTGTCCAATTTGTCATCGTCAATGATCCGGAATAAAATCGTTGTAGTACGGCTCGTTCAACACCACCAGTATGTAATGTGACATTGAGTGTTCCAATAGTCGATCCAAACATAAATAACCAAAACTCAAATTGGCATGTTGCACTTGCTTGGCTAAAGACGGACGTGATTAATCGTGCTGGAGAACTTGAAAGACCAGTGCCCGGTGCAACATACATGTAATACCCTACACGAAAAATTATATTTCTAACGTGTTTTCTTCTTCGAGATAACATACCGTTCCCATTTGAATAATCAAACGGTGGTCCAGTGCCTAGCGCTAAACTACCATTTCTAGCACGTTTCCACGTAAATGAACTACTACTGTTCACCTTCCATCCACACATCACAACACTATTTTCAAAAGTACAATTACCGCATTGTTTCTCTTCCTCACCACCCGGACAATCATTTACAAAATCACAAACCTAAAGAGGGCATCATTGATCTTCTCTATAGTTTTAATGACTAATTCTTACCTTTGTTTGTGATATGAGTGTTCCGTTAATACAGCGATATTGACCTGTTGGAGCGGTGACACCCAGACATTTACCACTTGTGGTTTTAACATCGTCCAGAGCCATATCTCCGACTTTGGTTCCTACTATACCTTGGAATACAATTGTATACGTTTTCGACTTCGTTATGTTTGGTAATAGTGTATATTCTTGATAAATCCAATAATTGTCAAATACTTTATCTTGCGTGAATATTGTTGACGTTGTATTTGCATTCGGATCACGAACAAGGACATTGAATTTTGCTCCTGTTGTATTTCGTATGTAATAGTACCAACTTAAACATTTAACACCATCACTTATAGAAATTAATTCCGATTCCAATAGAGCTACTTTATTTGGAGTTGTGATGGCACGATCCAAGAACATATAATAGCCTGTGTAAAGTAGAATGAATTAGTTTGATAGGATGAAAGTATGATAGACCTACCCGCTCGAGTATTAGTTGTATGATCAGTAGTAGGTCCGTTTGATATTTGAATATTGGAAGATGTCCGTTTCCAATTAAAATCCGCTTTCAGATGCATAAATCCACACATATGTTTCTCAAAATCACATGATGCTAAGGGAGAACATTCACCGGATTGAATTTCAATGTCGTCAATTGCAATATCACCTATAAACGTAAGTATTATCAATGATACAATCGTCAGCTTTTTCTAAACTTTACCTTCAGAATGGTTTTGTAAAATTCCTTCAAATACCAGCTAGAAATAATTCATATTTTGAAATTCTAGTATTTTAATGTAAGTGTAAAAATGCACAAACCTGAAATGGTGTGCTACTTTTGACAGTTGTTTGCACTAATTTCCACTGATCACCTTGACTGCCCGTTAGTGTGTATAGAATCTTTGGATTTAATTGTCCATAAGCAAATGTTCTCACATTCAGTGTGCCAATATTACTTCCATAGAGATGTGTCCAAAATCGAACACACGAACCGGTTGTATCTGGATATTGTCTTGATACTAAACGTCCACTATCATCAGCATTTTGTGCTTTTGATGATGGCAAATACATGTAATGACCTATAAGTAAAATATAGTTACTGTCATAGTACAGCTTATTTTCCGCTCTTGCAATGCTTACCAAAATGTGTACCATATGTGACGTCAAAACTCGGTCCTGTACCGTTCGATGGCGTTCCACTTTGTTGACGAATCCAGTCAACATTATTTGATGGATCGTTTACATAACCACATTGATCAGCTGATTCAAAATCGCACATCGTTGTTGAAGGACAAGCACCAACGTTCACAGCCAGATCATCGACGGCAGTGTCANGTACAGCTTATTTTCCGCTCTTGCAATGCTTACCAAAATGTGTACCATATGTGACGTCAAAACTCGGTCCTGTACCGTTCGATGGCGTTCCACTTTGTTGACGAATCCAGTCAACATTATTTGATGGATCGTTTACATAACCACATTGATCAGCTGATTCAAAATCGCACATCGTTGTTGAAGGACAAGCACCAACGTTCACAGCCAGATCATCGACGGCAGTGTCACCTTGAGAATTTTTACCAACAATGGCTTCTATAACCAGCTGATACACTGTATTAGTTGGCAGATCTAGTCTCTTTGATAATTCAATCGTTCCAAGACGCCATTCATCGCCCTTAAAGAAATAAACATGTTCTTGAAAATTGATTGTAACGGTATTTTGCTCTTACCTGATCGCCTTCTTTCTGCCATATTGCTTTACCCAAATTGCTATCTGCAAAAATAATAGTTCATATTATTTTTCTCTCACTAAAAAAGCATGTCCTACATACTAGATCCTGCATATACATTTAGTCGATAAATGTTAGCACCATACCTAAAAAATTCGCATGAAATTTCTCTAAGCAGTTTCTAACTTAAACTTGATATAATTACATGTGATAATAGAAGCGAAAACAATAATTATTTTCTGTTACACTCAGATCAGGACTGATTAATCTTGCTGTGTCGTTAGGTTTCGCTGATGTCGTTTGGATATAAATATAATGACCTAAGTGTACACGTTATCGCATAGTTCACTTCACAACTGTTTCATATACACGAACTTACCAAGTGTCGACTGCAGAGTATGATCAAAGTCAGGTCCAGTTGTTGCCGAACCCGTTTCTCCTCTAGCTATTTTCCAATTGAACGTTGATGTTTGATCGTGAACCCAATTACAGGTACAGTTACATTCAAAATTACAATCGTATTGATTTGGTGCTACAACGAATTGATCACAGATAATTACCAAAAAGCTGTAATTAAAGATTTCTACTTACGGTAAGTAACTGGTGAAACTGTGGTGGGTATTGTACTTGTTAGACTTATATCGCAATTACGACCAGGATACCAAACAATATCATCCACGGCTATGTCTCCTGTTAATTGAAAACCAACAATAAATTCATTTTCGTTCCTTCTCAAATAATACATACCCTCAGGGCCTGTTCCAGCTGTTCCTTCGATTATAAACTATAAAAAAGAAAAGGCTCAAGCATAGTATCCATTTTGAATGTTTGAATCAACTTACTTGTAACGTTTCTTTTGGTTGTAAGCCCGTATTAACACCTTCTATCAATTGTTTCCACTGATCGCCTTGTTGTCCAGTTATATTTGTTAACAATCTCATTGGAGATGATTTGCTGTCCAAATAAATATTTAATGCTCCTATATCTTCACCGAGCATATGGTACCAAAGAGTAAAACAACCGTCTTCAGCCGATAGATGTTCGCTGACAAGGCGTGCTTTTTGGCCTTCTTCAGCTGGAAAACTGGCTTCGAGATAAATATACCACCCAACATTTGAATTTGTTGTATGATCTAAGATAAAGCATATATATTATCAGCTGAAGAGAACTTCTTTTTTATCACATACCGACACTGGGACCTGTGCCTGTTGATCCCGTTTCTCCACGATTCAATAACCAATCAAAGTCATCATCTGATTTCTGTTGTGTCCAACCACACAATATTCCACCTTCAAAATTACAATTGATCGCTGGGGAACATTTGCCCAATCGTAAGTCAACATCATCGATACCAATAATAACTTCAGATGACGATTTAGTTGCTTCAAAGTTTAATAAAAATGACTGAGAACGATCTCCTACTTGTACTTGTGTATAGCGCCATTCATTCAGATAGAAATCACTGTGCCATACATTTGTAACCTGCGTGTTTGGTGTCAGTGCCATCGTTACATTTAAACTGCCCGTTGTTGATGATGGTCCGTTGATAAAATACCAAAATCGTAGACATTCGTCGCCACTTGCTGCATAAAGACGACTCGATAATCTGCAGAAAGAATAAAATATCAGCCTTGAAGTAACAAAATGAGAAAATAAGTTTTACTTCGATGATTGAAGTTCTTTGGCTAGTGCAAACGAGCCTAATGATGTTGATGTCGTGTGATCCATATTAATAAAATTTGACATGTTTGATGCTTGTTGTCTTATCCAACTTTTTTCCGGAGAAGCTTTAAAATCACACATATCCACTTCAAAATCGCATGTTTTCGTTGATGGACATTGATTATTGCTAACAAATATATCATCTAAGCTAATGTCACCTAAATAGCCTTTTCCTACTATGCCTTCAAATACAATTCGCCATCCAAATACACTTGCATCACCGTCACTAATATCTTGTAGCGTTTTTGTTCCGTGAAGCCATTGGTTTCCCTGACTTGATGATTTTTGCCATATTAGTTTTCGTGAAAAACCCGTAGGTGAAACAGAATCAACGTAGACATTGAGTGTACCAATATCTAAACCGTACATATGATACCAGAAGGAGAGACAACGGGGTTGTCCCGTTAATGGATTTTGAATAGCTGATAATAAACGGGCTTTATCGTTTTCTTGTCTAATTAAATAATAAAATTCACTGTCTAAGAATATACCAAGTAAGGAAAAAAGTACTTACCTAGGATACGATGCTTCGATGTAAATGTAATATCCTGAACCAGTGGTATGATCTGAAAGAGTGATAAAATCACGAGATTTTTCGCTGCTAGAAGTAAGTAATAGTTATTAATTACCAAATCCAGGTCCGGTTTCAGCTGAGTCTGTTGTATGATTCGCTCTGTCCCATTGAAAGTCTGCTGTATCATCACGAAAATAGTTACACCAATCATGTTCGAATGTACAATCAATTGGTAAGCCTAATATAGGTGTTGTTGTTTGACAATTAAAAAACTCTACATCATCTATTGCAATGTCGCTCGCATCACCCGGAAAACCATCGATTTCTAACAAAAGATACTTTTCTCTAATTACTCAAATTTAATACCCCTCTTCAGACTACTCACCAATAGAAAATCGGTCCGCTTGATGGCCAATATTTACGACAGCTTGTTGCCATTCAGGTGCTTCTTCATCAAACCATTGTAGAAACTCATGAATATCCGTACCACTGACTAATCGATGTAAAAATACATCAATTGCCGAATAATCGGTGTTTCCATTAATGTAATACCAAAACTTCAATTGACATTCGATACCACTTGGACCCAACACTGGGGATCGAATCGACGTATAATCTGCACTATCACTCACCGTAGCATCGACTAATAAATAATATCCATTATTTCCCGTATGATCTACGTCCGGACCTTGCCCACTTGGCGCTTTGCCTGTTCCAAGTGTCCAGTCGTATTCCGAAAAGCCAACTGATCGCCATCCACACCACTGTTGTTGGTCAAAATTACATGTACCACAGGCGGCCTCATCACTACCGTTCAAACAATCTTTTTTGAAATCACAAACTAATGTGCCATTGATACATTGTCGATTTTCAATACATAAAAACTCGTTTGGTTGACATGGATTAGGTGTAATTGTCGTTGGTTGTGTTGTTACAGTCACCAAACCTACATTACCCAAACTACATTCCGGCGTGAATGATGTATCATCAACGGCAATGTCGCCGGCGTAACCTTTGCCCACAATAGCTTCTAAAACGACTTGAAAGGGTTCACTGACGAACAGACGAACATCGGCACGAACCCAAAAATCGCCGACTTCGTAATCTTTCGACCAAACTTTATTCATTGAACCCCCAACAGTTGTACGTGTATAAACGTTTAATGCTCCAATATCTTCACCATACAAATGATAGAAAAATCGGAATTCACAGCCACCAGAATTATTGAAAACAGGCGACGCGACACGAGCTCTGTCTCCTTGTTCAGCAGGGTGAGAAGATTCCAAAAATATGAAATGTCCGCTTGGCAAGCCTAATGTATGATCTCGTTTTGGTCCAGTTTGAAAACTCGTTGTTGGCCCATCATTTAGTTCCCAATCGAGGTTATTGTCGAGTTCTTGTGTCCACGAGCAAAAAGCTTGTTCTTCGAAATTACACATTGTATACGATTTACAATTAATTTCATCTGAATTATCCCCACAATCGTCACTTTAATACGGAAAAATACATTAAACTATTGAAGAAAAATTAACCTAAATTAATCAATTTACCTGAAATCGCATACACGATTCATTTGTACACAGGCGCCGCGTTGACAGCGAAAATATCCGTCGGGACATGTTGGTCGTTCTGGTGGAAACTGACAACCGACCAGTTTTACATCATCAATAGCCACATTTCCATCGCCAAAACCACTTTCAGCCAAAAATTGTATCGACCATGGTCTTGATATGCGACCAAGTGGTAACAAAACACGAACCCATTGATCACCTAAAACACTAGTATTAATATTAATGAAATTAGAATTTAATAGTATTTACCTTGATCTTCGAATTGTTCCCAGATATCGATACTATCTTCGTTTTCTTTCAAATGAACAGATAAAAATTGATAATCATCACCCAATAAATGATAATAAAATTCTAATTCACAAGTGGAACTTGATGGCTGAAGTATTTGTTGAAGCTCCAAGATGCCTTCATCCCAAATCGTACCAGTAGCCGAGTCGACGTACATATAGTAACCCCGGCTTGTATGAGTGGTATCTAGTTGGTTATAGAAAAAGTAATTGGGCAATTTTTGATGTTATACAGGTATACTCACGATCAACAGTTGGTCCACTATGATTTTGTGATGCGGTGAAACCCTGACCTCTTTTCCATGCGAATGATCCAAAACTTTGATCTAACCAACGACATTGATCTTGCTCAAATGTGCAATCGGCGCACACCTCTTCATCATGACCATTAGCACATTCTTTGATGAAATTACTAAAATACGCAGAAACGATGACACACGCGATATTGCATACTATTTGTCAATACATACCAAACTTGTGAATTCAGTACGATTGTTCCATCTCCACATTCAAAATTACCAGTTGGTGCTGGTGTTGTTGCCACAGCTGAACAACTGGTTGGATACATAAACAATTCATCTAGTGCGATAGAACCAGCTTGTCCCTCGCGAAAATGTCCATCAATATGAATCTAAATCATTCAACAACGTTGTATTATCAAAGTCGTTATAAAAATTACTGCCAAACCTCAAAATTATCATAGACTGTTGATATATCAATTGATTGTCGGTGCCATGAATTTCCTTGATCATTCTCTACCGTCCATAAGAGAGTTGCATTTGGTCTATAATTGCCGTCAACTAAAGTTCTGTATCGCATCATTACATTGATCATATGTGAACCAGTGAGGAAATAATTGAACACGAAACAAGCACCAGACGGATATTCATATGCGAGTAAAATTTCTGAATGTAACGATGATGTTTGATTGGCAATATTCATTCCGTAATTTGATCCTGCCCACAAGAAATGACCATATTGTGTGCCGATTGTTACATCTTTTATTGGTACATTCGTCCCACTGTAAATAAGACTTAATTGTTGAGCTGTTAAACGATACCATGAAAAGTGTGTTGTGCCAGCCGATGGTGTCCATGTACATAAATCATTTTCAAAATTACATTGACCATTGGGCGTGCATGCACCTGCTGTTATCGATACATCATCAATCGATATATCACCTGTAAAACTTGTGCCCACAACACCTTCAAACATCACCTGATAAATAAAAGATGAAGACGATGTGTCAGCATTCAACTCAATCCAGTTAAACTAACTTGAAATTTATCTGCTGTCAATATTGTAGCTTTGGCCGGACGCCAACGGTTACCTTGATCACCACCTAGACTCTGAACGGCGAAAGGGACGTGAGTTTATAATAGAAAACAAGTATTAGTATATGTTACCCATAATGGGATTGTTTGCTGAACATTTTGGGACCATAGATATACATTGAGACTACCTGTTGTAGGTCCCCACATATGATAGAAAAATTGTAAACAAGAACCACCTGCGACAGTCGGATAATCGGGTGAGATGAGGCGTGCCTTGTCACCCGTTAACTGAGGTGAGCTTGATTCAATATACATATAGTGCCCAGTGTTTGTTTGATATGTATGATCTAAGAAGAAAACATCCGTTATATCTATCTGTGCCATTGACAAAAGAATTAGTACCATTTGATGCTCCTGTACTTGACGATATTGTTTCACCCGATTGTCTAGTCCAGGTGAATTTGCCTGTAATATCATTTTGATAACCGCAGATGGATGGATCTTCAAAATCGCAGACTGTTACTGTCGGACATGTACCAATCAGAAATTTTAAGTCATCAAGTGCCACATATCCCGTCGATCGTGGCACAGCAACCACTAAATTAAAGAAGAACCGCTATTATTTCTGCCATTTTCTTGCCATTCTTAAACATACCTGCTATTTCAATTATCGCTCCCTGCGCCATACTGATACTGACTGTTCCATGAGTCCACTTATCACTGGCAGTTGTACCAGGTCTACGCCATAAGAGTTGTGCACCAGTTACATTTCTTGAATAAATATTTAGCGTTGTATCGGACGAAATGTACGACTGATACCAAAAATCAAAGCAAAATGACGAAGCGGTGCCATGTAGTGGTGATGAACGAATTGTTGATGTTTGAGGTGGTCCTCCTGTTCCTTCGATACCCACATAAATGTAATGACCGTACACATTCTGTTTGGTATGATCTGTTAACGGTGATTTTCCAAATTGTGCACTTTGACCGTTTTGTCTTTTCCACACATTCGTCTCTGTTGTCTCAGTTTGCCAATTGCATAAATTATTTTGTTCAAAATCACATTCATATAATGTTGGTTGCGCAGTAACGGGTGCTTGTGTTGTCGATGCAAAATAGGCACAAGAACCACCCTGCGTCAACTTAATATCGTCCAAGGCAATGTCAGATTCATATCCAGAGCCCTATAGTAAACGAAACCTATGGTATTCATAACTATCAGAGAAAAAGAATACGTACAATAACAGCTTCGAATATAAACTCGTAATGATCAGCCGTCGTTGTTGGTATATCTACTTGACCAAAAATCCATTTATTTCCTTGATCACCCTGCATTAAAAGAGACAAAATTTTTACTAGCGTACGAGAAATAAACTGAACATACCTGCATAGACCATAACGACGTTCGGTTTTGAGTCGTAATTCGATAATAAACAGACAAACTGCCAGTTGTGTTTCCATACATATGATACCAAAATTCCAAACATGCACCTTTTGGTGATTCCAAAACTTCGCTGACCAGCCAGGCTTTCTCGCCTGGTTTTTGTGGAGCGCTGGCTTCAATGAATACATAGTATCCAGCAATTGTACCCGTGGTGTGATCCACACTTGGCCTTTTGAGCAAAATACATCATTGAAGAATAGTTTTTACAAAAATAAATAGCATACCCAGTTTCGTATGACGTTGTACCGCCCCGTTGTCTTAACCAATCAAATTCATCCTCACCTTGTTGTTGAGTATTATAAAAACCACAATAACCTTGTTCAAAATCACAACTACCGTCTGTTTCACACTGTCCATTTTGTAAATAAATATCATCAATAGCAATATCTCCCTGAAAACAGACACCTTTGAAGTAGAAAAAAAAGAAAGGAGATAACTTACATCAAAACTTTTGCCAACAACGCCTTCAAAAGCAATCTGAAATTGACTACTGCTTTTCACTGTCACATGACCATAACGCCAACGATTTCCAAGATTACCACTGAAATAAATATAATTCCCTATCGTAGAATTCTTTCAAAAAAACACTTTTAGTTATACCTTTTTGTCCATAATAACTGTTTTGTATCATAAATCATCACATTTAATGTACCAATGGTGTTTCTAAAAATTAAAGAGCATTTTTTTGCACTTTTTCTTCCATTTTAACTTTAGTGCGTTTTACTTACCCATACATATGATACCAGAATTTGAGACAAATCGAAGATTGCGCTGGATATTTTGGACTTACAATTCGTGCCTTATCTCCCTCTAGTTGAGGACTGGATGTTTCAATGAACAAGTAAAATCCATGTGGTGACTGAGTAGTATGATCTGAAGAGAAGAATATCACGATATATTCGACCATGTGATTTCTGATAATCTGGACTTACCAGCTGATGGTCCTGTACCAGACGACAGCGTTTCCTTTTGAGCTCGAGTCCAATAGAAATCAGCTGTTGTGTCGTTTGTCCATCCACAATAAGATGTTTCAAAATCACATTCTGTTGGTGGTGGACACTCTTCTTCGAGTAACGCTAGTTCATCTATACCAATGTCACCTTCAAATCCTCCAACGTAACCATCAATTTTTAAATAATAATCCGATCCAATATTCCTTAAATTTATTCGTCCTACTCGCCATTCATTCGCTTGTGTTCCATTTCGTTCCCAAACTAGAATCTGTTTCAGAGGTGTTGTTTGCTCTACCGTTGAAATTTGCAATGAACCAACGTCTTCGCCAAACCTATTGAGAAGATTAAAAAATAACTATAAGGCCTCCAGGAGTGAAAACCTATGCATTTCTCACATGTGATAATAAAATGAAAAACATTGCACATTTTTAGGTTTAGGTAGTGTTGGCGATATGAGACCAGCACGATCACCATAGTTATTTGGATAGCTTGCTTCCATGTACAGATAATATGGTGTATTGTCAGCGCCTAAATTGATGAATAAGTTATGAACACTTTACTGCCAATGTACCTAGCTGATAGACCTTGCCGCAAAAAGCGCATGTTCTCGATATCCAAAACCCTCAAGCCATGATACCAGGCTTCCAGGAGTAAAAATCACCTTTTTCTACATCTTTCACCAAGCCTTCCCAAGCCTGGTATCGTTTAGCTGAAGTTGATCAGTTCTATCACCGATGTCGGGTTAAGTAGAAAGAACTGATTACGTCTGAGATAAAGACTTGGTAGAGCTGGGAGATTTTGGCTGACGAGAATAAGCGAGGTTTGCGGCAAAGTCTCTAGGCTTGGTACATCCTGACACTTTACCACTCTCGTAGCAATCATCATACCTGTACTCGGTCCAGTGCCAACACTTGATGTTTCTCCGGTATGTCTCGTCCAGTTAAACTGCGCCGTTGGATCAAATTGCCACTGACAAACATCTCGTTCAAATCCGCAGGAAACTGCTTCTTGTGATACTTGAAATGAATCTGCATCTATTGGTTGAACTGTGCACACGTCTGTCGTCATAACACCAATATCATCTAAGGCAATGTCTCCGTCGTATCCTTTTCCTCGTATAGCTTCAAATATAATCTGATATTTTCCGGTTGGTGTAATTGGTGCCAAACCATGTTTCCAAGCACGACCTTGTGGTCCTTTCAATCGCCAAATAACTGTTTCGCTACCGTTTACTGCACTATAGCTACGTATATAGACATTTAATGTATCAATATCAACACCATACCTAGTGAAAAAGAGATCAGTTCAAACTTCTTGCCAAGCTTCTTCGTCAACACTTACATGTGATACCAGAAAGTTACACATTTTGATCTTGTATCAAACAACATTTCGGACTCGAGCCGTGCTTTCTCACCCATTTCAGCTGGTACTGATGTTTCAATATAAATATAGTAGCCATCTTTTGTCTCTTAAAAAACGAAAATATTTACAATAAATATATCTGCTTTTAACTTTGAGAAAAATGAGAATATTTACCCGTTGTATGATCTGAATCCGGCCCTGTACTGCTACTTATTGTTTGTCCTTTATTTAACTCCCACTGGAGATTATTGATTCCTGCATTTTTCCAAGCACACATATCACCACTATCAAATGTGCATATATCACCTTGAAGTGAACAATCTCCATCTCTGAGTAGATAATCGTCTAAAGCGATTAAACCAGTGCGCCCATTTCCGCTAACAGCTTCTAATACAATTTGGAACTGATTTGCTGTTGCTACGATCGGTATGTTTATCTCAGCTTTGTTCCACATGAATCCATGATCATTTGATCGTGTGAATAATAAACGTTTTGTACCTGTTATACTTTCTTGATTAACATTGAGTGTGTTTGAATCTGATCCACTTATAACAAAATAAAATTCTAAACATTTCGATTGATTTAATACAGCTGGTTGATAAAAGGGTGATTGTAAACGTGCATGTAAATTTTCCAGTTTATTATCGAAGTCAACGTACACGTACGCACCACGATTAGTATTTGTTGTATGATCAGGCAGAATCGGTGCCGGTGCACGACCACCACCGTTATGTGTGCTCCATGATAGAGCTGATGATGTACCATTTTGTGTAAAACCACAAGCTTGAGGATCAACAAATGTACACGATTCACCAATAGCACTACTTTCCTTACATGCACCATTAACAAAATAAATATCATCTAGTGAAATAGTTTCGCTTGCACCTGCTCCAGCAACAGCTACAAATAAAGAGGAGAAGAACGTGATTTTAATGAAAGGCAAGGATTTTTTTTGTTTTACCTTCGAAAACAACGTTCGCATTATCTTTTGTTATCGTTACTCGTCCATACCTCCATACATCACCTTGTGTACCTTGTCGTATCCATATTGGAACGCCTAATTGATCTTGAATAGCCATATAAATCATTAATAGTCCTCCTTGTCCGTACATATGATAATAGAATGTCATGCACTGTGATTCGGTCAACAAAGGACCTTGTAATCTTGCAAATGCATTTGGTGCTTTCTGGTATAAATCAACAAACATATACCAACCATCCTTGGCTCCAGTTGTATGATCCACAGCTAAAAACACAATATAGTATAAACAATCGTTAAGAGATAGATTAATTTAACCGAATGGCTTACTTGGTCCCATTATCGATGAACCTGTTGGTCCTTGAACCCGTGTCCAGTCAAAATTATTACCAGCTGTATTTGACCATGAGCATGTATCGTTTTCAAATGTACAGTCATATTTTCCTAGTGGTTTAACGGTAACAGGTGGCCTGGTTGAGGTTGTCGTCGGAGGAATATCGGCCGGATTAGCATCCGACGGTGTCAGTGTGCAAGGATTATCAAATATTTGAAGATCATCGATTGCAATATCACCAATGAATGACTCACCTTTGAAAAATAAACTTTCATATTATCTCAGCTCTATAACTAAATCTGCGCTCACGTACCGATGACGCCTTCAATTAATAATCGATAGTATGCACTTGATTGAACAGTAACTTGTCCATTTCTCCATGTATCTCCTTTATCTCCATTTTGTGTCCTGAAAACAATACGCCATTATAAGTAGCCTGACAAGTATCTAACTAAGTCAATTTTTACCATATCCACAATGGTTGTTTTGATCGTGTACCATTTACGTAAATGTTTAATAAACCAATATCCTCGCCGTACATATGATACCAAAATGAAAAGCATGAACCGATCGAAGATGTTGGTAATAACACCGTTGATTCTAACCACGCTTTATCACCCGTTTCTCGAGGAGCAGATGCCTCCACAAATGCATAATATCCAAATTGATCATTGTTCGTGTGATCAGTTGTTGGCTATTAACAACATAAAAGTATTAGCTTAAAGTTAACATCTATGTCGTTGAAACTTACTCCTGTAAATGATGAATCCGTTTGACCGTGTCCCACTAACCAATCGAATTGATCGAATTTTGAATCTCTCACATTATGCCATGTACAAAAATCGATTTGTTCAAAGTCACATGTACCCAATTTAGGACACAGACCATCTTTAATAATAACATCGTCCAAAGCTAGATCACCTTCAAATCCTGAGCCAAATTCACTTTCAAAGACGACCGCCCAAAATTCAAGCGTTTGATAAATATTAACTGTAGCCGCATTCCACTGGTCACCAAAATTGTAGTTAACTTTCCATTTCGGATACATATCATCAGTAGATGACATTTTTTGATAAACCGTCAATGCTCCGATGTCCGCACCGTAACTATGATACCAAAATGATAAACATTGACCTCCATTAGTAACATTGAACCATGGCGATATTAAACGGCCCTTTTGACCTTGTTTCTGACCATCTGATGCTTCGATGTACATATAGTAACCTAAACACAACAACGATAACATCAAGTTATAAATACGAGATGGTTGAAAACTCTCACCATTGACTGAGTTGGTTGTATGATCAACACTTGGTCCTGTTGAATAGCTTGATGTATGACCCTTATGTCTAGTCCATCTATAGTCAGCTGTTGTGTCATGATAGAAACCACAGATCTGTTCATCATCAAAATCACACTCAAATGAATAATCAGATGGGCATGCACCATCGACAACTGCCAAATTGTCAAGAGCAATATCTCCTAGAATGAATAGATAAATAGTATTAAATTATTCTTAGGAAGTTGACATGTCTTACCTTGAAAATCAAGACCTCTGATACCTTCGACCATGATCTATGGAAAAACCATATTCAAGCGTACGTAGTTTCGTTGTGTGAAGTTGCTTACCGAGTACATATCAGGAACATTTAGTTTTACTTTGCCAAAACGCCAAACATTTCCTTGTGGACCTTCACGAGACCAAACAATACGTTCATCATTTGATGAGTTTAATACTAGGATATTTAATCTATTAACATCTGGTCCATACATGTGATACCTAGAACACATCCATAGTTTACATATTAATAGAATTTACTTTTTTAGTTTTACCAAAATTCAAAACATTTTTGTGCGCCACTCATGACCATTGATTGAAGACGTGCTGAATCATTTATCGTTGCTGGATAGGATGTTTCCATATATATATACCATCCTGTGCCTAGAATTAATAAAAAGTATTTGATGCTACCGTCAACCAGCTGAAAGTGCAAATTTTACCTGTTCCTGTTGTAACATCGAATGTTGGTCCTGTTTCAAATGTGTCCGTTGATCCTTGATATCTTGTCCAGTTTAATGTACTATTGCTATGTGACCATAAGCAATAACCAGTTTCAAATGTACAGTCGTATACCGATGGCACTACAATATAAGTTGAGTACATTAGACTAGAAGAGTGTTGATTTTAAAGACAAACCTTGTGTACTCAATGGTGGACGTGTGACAGTTGACGGTGTTGTCAAATGTTGAACCGCTGCTCCTGGCGGACTAACACCACAATAACCATCACGAAAATCAATATCATCAATTGCATAATATCCTTGTGTTTGTGAATTCATGCTACCCTCAATATCAACCTAGAAAAGCGGCTCATAGTTTAAGAATTACTGGATCAATTACAAGCAACATACATTGTAGTCATCATCCATATAGAATCCAACAGATGCAAAATGCCATTGATCGCTAAGATCTGCGTACTTTAAAAAATATATGGTATTAAATAATTTATCTATTGAAGGTATGTTATCTTAACTTACTCCCTGCGACCAGATCATTATTGTTTCTTTACTATTTGTTATATTAACATCAAGTTGTCCAAGTTGAGTTCCTCTTATATAAAACCAAAACGTTATACACCGACCGACGACTGATGTGGGTGAGAATGTTTCACTTTGAATGACAGCCACAACTGATTCTTTATTCGTGAATGTTGAACTCATGATCAGATATTGTCCAGTTGAAGAGCCTGTTCAAGAAAAAAAGCTTATAAAATATTCCAACAATAAATATTTTCGTACCGTGTGTGTGATCAGTTGAAGGACCATTATAAGGTGCTGGAGCTGATCCACTGCCAATTATCCAGCTTGCATTTGCTAACAAAAATAAACTTGACCATGTACATAACCTAGAAAAATCACGGTAATAATAGAATTTGATATATAAGAATGCGTTTATATTCTTACCCATTTTCAAAATCGCAATCACCTGCTTCACCACATGCTCTATCTCGTATGTACACATCGTCGATGGCAATAGATGGATTTGTAGTCGTCTTGTATATAACACTTTCGAATACAACTTGAAATGGAGATAAAGTGAGACCATGTGGAACACGTTGTTGAGATATTCGCCATGTACGATCCTAGAGTAACGCGAACATAATCGTTTACGTTCACTCGGAGGAAAAGTTTATACTCACAATTGGCAGATGTTTTGACCAGATAAGATAGCCAGATACATTTGTCGATGGTGATCGCAAGTAAACATTCAAACTTGAGCCTGCACTGAGAATGTCACCATTACCATAATAATAAAACTCAATACATTGTTCTCCATTCGGAACGATGACAGGCGTTATCAGTCTGGCTCGATTGTCGATTATGTTAGCAGATGAGGACCTGAGATCAACAATCATAAAATGACCTAAAGCAACAGAATTTTATTCTATCTGGTAGTCATATGAAAGCTACTACGTATATTACCATTAGTAGTACCATCCGTATGGTCTATATTCGGACCAAACTGTGTTGTTAACGGAGAAAGACCATCTGCCTGTATCCAATTATACTGCGAATTCACGTTTTGATAGCCACATAAGGCCGAGTCTTCAAATGAACAGAGCCGAGCAGTTTCCTGCGGACATGTATTATATACCACGATATCATCAATACCGATGTCTCCTAGGCTATATCTAAACATGACCAAACAGCAATTAGTGTGATACTTGTTAATCAATATGTTTAATTAAAACTCACTTTCCTACTACTCCTTCAAACACAATATTATAACTATTTGAAATCATTTGAATTCGATATTGTCCTTTAATCCACTGATTGCCTAAAATAAATACAAACCGTTTCCGTTTGTTGGTGAATATGATCGAATCTTGATATAAATATTCACCTTGATTTCTCGATCTTGTCCATACAGGTTTACCTATCTGTCCATTTTGTTGAATATAGACGTTTAACGTATCAATATCCATTCCGTACATGTGATACCTTGACGAAAATAATATTAATGAGCATGCTGAGATAAGAAGTGATTTGCAATACTAGTCCTCCCAGGTAGTCCTGTATATCCAGTCTCAGAGGGTGACTAGGTTCGAACCAAAGTAATTTTTAAAAATTTTCGCAGTAAAAAGTTGCTTGAAGTGTATAAGCTTTTGCACAAAAAGTTTGAAGCCTTCAGGCAATACTTTGAGTCTAAAAATCATTTTCATAGTCATGGAAATATGATACCCAAATTTCATTTTGTAGTAAACTGTGACCATCAGTTTTGGGAAGGAAAATAGGGACAAAAGATGCACCAGAAATTTTTTCTCTGTATGCACTCGAACTGACAACACTAAAAGACTTTGAGTCGCAGAGCCCCGTATTATTTACCAGAACTCGAGACATCGATCTCCTTGTACGTTTTCAGACACAACTCGACAACGTTCACCCGCCTTTTGCGGCCAACCGGCCTCCATAAACAAATACCATCCGCTTGCAGTACCCAATGTGTGATCTAAGAAAAAATACGTTTAACTTACACAATACAACGTACATTTAGTTTTACTTACCAACCGACGGTCCAGTGCTGCCTGTTGCTGTGCCGCCTTGATGTAGCTGCCACAAGAATTCAACAGTTTGATCTTGTTTCCATGTGCACAGTGTCGCATTTTCAAAATTACAGTCCCATTGCGATTGTGGTGGTAAAATTGGTCGTTGCGTGGAGCTTGATGTAAGAGATGGCGGTCCAGTGGTGACGGCGCTTGGAGATGCTTCAATTGGTCGAATCGCACAATCACTCATAGAAAATGTAATGTCATCAACACTTATGTCAGCCTAATTAAAACAAATTTAATGATTACCCTACATTAAAGAAAAATTTCGGTAATCTTACTAGAAAATCTTTTCCGCGTATTCCCTCGATAATTATTTGATGCACAGCACTGATTGTGTACGATACTTGGGCCTCGTACCATTCATTTCCACGGTTACCTGATAAAGACCACAGTCGAGTTTCTGTACCGTTTGTTAAATAAATATTCAGTGTACCAATATCAGAACCATACCTAAAGACAATATACGTTCTATTTTCTCATGCAAACCATCTATCAGTCACTTACATGTGATAATAAAATCGAAGACAATTTGCTTGGGAATTAGTACTATCAAGTAACATACTGTATAAACGTGCTTTCCAACCTGGTTGAGCAGGGGCAGATGCTTCGATATAAATGTATTTTCCCTGTGCTGTGTTGGTTGTATGATCTATATCGGAGGAGAAAGCGAGAGAGAAAATAAAGAAAATATAGCAAAAGTCTTGATAAAGCTATCAACATTTCTTACCTAATAAAGGTCCTGTTCCCCATGAATGTACACCATCACCAACTATCCATTCAAAATCTATTTCGTTTGTATCACGGGAGTTAGTCCATCCACACATGTCAATTTCAAATGTACAATCGCCCGGTTTTGGACATGTTCCACGAGTAATACTCACATCATCCAGTGCAATACTTCCTTGTGATCCTATACCTTGAACGGCCTCGAATACAGCTCTCCAGGTATTTGTTGGACTGTTAATGTTAATTTGTGCATAATTCCATTTATTTCCAAGATTTCCATCTTGTGACCAAAGCATTGGTCCTAACTGATTCGCTTGTTGAATGTAAAAATTAAATGTACTTAGTTGAATACCATGCTGAAAATACCAGAAATGAACACATGATCCAGATGTACGTTCTTGTACGGGACTCATCAATCGTGCGCGATCATTTTCTTTGTGTGTATTGATTGTTCCATCGACAAACATGTAGTATCCTTGATTTGACTGAGTTGTATGGTCAATATTTGGATTTGGACCTTGTTGCACAGCTTCTGCTAGTCCACGTTGCCAATTAAAATCAGCTGATGGATCATTTATGTAACCGCATATGCTATCATCTATATCGAAATCACAAAAATCGGGTGTGGTCATACATGAACCGTTGTGAACAGTAATATCGTCAATCGCAATGGAACCATGATTATTTGGTGTCCATGTGGCATCAAATGAAATCTAAATGAAAAAAGAATGAAATTTACTTGTCACAGTGCACTATTCATAACTTACCATATATGATTTTAGATTCACTGATGATTCAAGATTGACTTGTGCATGATACCATTGATAATCTTTTGAATTTTCTGTCGACCATCGTGTTTGTAAAAACATATCGGCTGATTTAGTTACCGTTAATTTTCCTACATGATTACCATACATAAAATACCAAAACTCTAAACACGCTTTATTCACCGTCATTGTGTCACTTTTAAAGTGAGCTTCTGCTTGATCCTAATAGATATAAAAAGCACAAAAAATAAATTTTAAAAGAAAAGTTAAATGAATAACTTACCGTTGATATTTTTTCTGATGTGTTTAACATCAAATAATAGCCTTGTCCGTTTAAGAGAGAATGATCGATAATTGGATTTACACCACCGGCAGTTATTGCTTGCGCACGACTCCAAGTGAGTTCACCTGTCGTTGGTGTTGTCCATGTACAAGAATCCAACTCGAAATTGCAATCGTATTTTGATGGTACAAATGGCTGAGTGGTACTGAAAAATAACTTTGTATTAGAGATGCAAGGCAGTTGAAAAAGCTTCTTACGTTGGAGTTGTCGGTGAAGGTGTTGGAGTTGTTAAGGGTGCTATAGGCTGAGCAATTGTCGGATGAATTGGACAATATCCATTTGTAAAAGATATATCATCAACGGCTATATCACCCATGAATGCTGGTCCAACTTTTCCTTCGAGAACAAGTGAATGATCAATACTTATTGTATAACCAACTTGTCCTTGGTACCAATTTTCTCCTTGATCCATGTACATAATCCACATCGGTTGCATATTAAATCCTTGTGGACGCATATGTACGGTCAATGCACCAACATCTTCACCATACCTATTGAAATTCGGTTTTATAACAGAGTGTAAATGAAGTTATTATTACATACATATGATAATAAAATTGCATACACATTCCATTTGCTCCTGTATCGGGCATCGATTGTGACAATAAAAACGCTGTATCGTTCTCTTTTCTTGGATGTGATGTTTCGATCATTGCATATCGTCCTTCGCTAGTGCCAAGTGTGTGATCCACTGTAGGACCTGTGAAAATGGAATCGGTTGGACCTTTCTGTATTTCCCAATCGAACTGATCGGTATTATCAACATTCATCCACCCACAAAAATCATGGTTTTCAAAATCGCAACTATTTGGGTCACGACAAGCCGTCGGTAATCGAGAAATATCATCCAATGATATATCACCCTGTAGAAAAACGCATACTATACATATACAGTTTTGTTTGAAAAAAGGAAGAAAGAAAGAAATCTTACTCTGAAGCTTCGTCCAACAATACCCTCGAATATAATACGAAATGGTGCAGAATATTCTGTGGATATACGCGCTTTTCTCCAAATATCTCCAACGTTTGAACTACGACTCCATACTAATGCTTTTGATGTGCCTGTTTGATTTGTTTCGATATAAACATTTAACGTTCCAATATCTTCACCATATTGATGATACCAAAATTCCAAGCATAAACCGTCATCCGGTTGCTCATAAATTGAAACTAAGCGAGCAACTTCATTAGGTTTTTGAGGTAGTGACGCTTCTAAAATAAAACTGATAAGTTGTCACCTATGCTTTTCGAATTGTATTTTCGCTTACCAATGTACATAAAATGTCCATTTTGTGTACCCAATGTGTGATCAGTACTGGCACCCGTTTCGTCAGAGAGGGTTGAACCTTGAGCTCTTTTCCATGCAAAATTTGCTGTGGGATCTGATGTGTAACCACAGATGTGTGCTTCTTCAAAAGTACATGTTATATTATGGAAACCAGGATTAATACAATCACCATAGCGAAGTTGAAGATCATCGACAGCAATGGTTGACAGTACAGACCACTCTGATACAACTTCATACATGATATGTGTGATCATTGTTGTTGATACATCACCTTCCAGTTGCCATTGAGCATGTTGCCAGAAATCACCGTGATCTAAAAGCAGTAAAGAATCATTGATTGTCTAATACAATGTATAAAGTATACTTTACCTCCTCTACGGAGCCATATAGGGTGAAACTGATTCATTGATGATTCATAGTAATAAACAGTTAAATTTGATACATCTGATCCATGCATATGATACCACCAACTCAAACATGATCGAACAGAACCTTGTATAGGAGGACTCATTAATTGTGCTATACCAATATCGTAGAAATCAACGTAATCCATTTGAGCTAACAAGTAATATCCTAAGTCGGTTCCTAATGTATGATCGTTTGACGGACCAACGAAACCTGCTAATATGTTTGCAGTTGCTTGTTCTCGAATCCAGTCGGCTGTGGCATTTGCTCCCTGTTTCCAACCACAAATATCTTGTTCAAATGTACAATCGTAACCTGGTACAGCACTTGATGGTGTAGTCGGTGGTTTGGGTGATGTATTATATTCCATGCTTGCCTCAATTGGCTCTGTTATACAAGCCGTATTACTTGTATCAAATAAAATATCGTCAATCGCGATAGCGCCCTACAAAAAGTTGTCAGTTGAGTAAGAGCTTCAGTTTTAAGACGAGGGTTAAACCTACATAATAGTCTTCGCCTACAATAGCTTCAATGATAATATTCCATTGACTTGCATCATCACCAAGTTTTACGACACCTTTATTCCACTGCTGATTCGGCGCATCTGTTAGTTTCCATTGAATATCAAATTTTGTTTGATCTAAATTAGATGTACCAACTTGGAGAGAGCCACGTTTTGTACCAGCCATGTAATAGTAAAATGTAAGACATCGTTTTCCCGGTTTAAATACAACGCTCACTAATCTTGCATTGTCGTTTTCGTACTGTAAATCTGACTTAGCGACCATATATTTTCCATTTGTTGAATTTGTCGTATGATCTACTGATGACAAACTTCCACATGGTGGTGTACAGCTTTGGTGTAATAACCAATTAAATTGTGTGTTCTTGTCAGAATTCGTCCAGTCACATAACCCACGTTCAAAATCACAATCACCATGTTCTCGTCCACATGAACCAGTTCGAATTCGAACATCATCAATGGCAATATCACCAGTAACACTCCTGCAAAAGTGCATTTAAAAGTAGTACAGTTTCATAAGAGAAAATAAAACTATATTCAACTGTACCTTCCAGAAATGGCTTCAAAAATTATGTGAAATGGCCCTGCTACGGGAGATATTGGCGCATGACCATTTATCCAACGATTTCCTTGATTAGCTGAAACAATAAATCCTCGTATTTGATTTATTTTTTTTCGTCAAAAAACACTTACATGATTCAGTCCAAATAGTTTGTCGATCACCATTGAATTCTCTGATGACGTTTAATGTTTCAACTGATGTTCCATACCTATACCACATTGAAGTAATAAATTAAATGAGTATGTACAATATTATCCAGTACGTAATAGTGATTTACTATTAGCAGCTGAATTTCTTCTTTAGACATAATAGAGCATCAAATTTTAGCCGAACAGTATATAAAAAATTTTCTTCGTCCTTGTTTTAACAAAATACAAAAGGTTTTTTTTCGTTTAGGCAAAGAAATACGGCTATAAAAAATGTTTGAAGGCTTTTCATACTTTAAAATATACCTTTCGATAGAAATTAAAATTCCGTACTCAGTTATGTTCGAAAAAAAACACCCAACTGCCCACAGTGAATTATTGTAAAGCGTCGAAACTGATAAACATAACTAAAGCATATTGTAGTGTACTACTTACATATGATAAAAAAAGTCTACACAGAGTGTAGCTGTGCTATTCGGATGTTGATATGGCGGTGAAATAAGGCGAGCTTTATCACCGTTGGGTTCGGTGCTTGTTTCGATGTACATATAATGACCTAAAAAAAGCGGTTACAGATAAAACAGTAGACGTAACGTACAATCGGTGTTAGATCCAACGTACCAAATATTGTTCCGTAAGTAACATCTGCTTGAGGACCTGTTTCCACTGAGTCGGTACTACCTTGATGTTGTGTCCACTCAAACTGTGCGGTAGCATCATGTGTGTAATTACAAAGACCAGTAGATTCAAAGTTGCAATAATCAATCACTTCTCCGTCGTGCATTACCGATGGACAGGCACCCGGAAAATTTGAAACGTCATCAATCGCAATATCTCCAAACCAACCTCCTGCTACTCCTTCGAAAACGACTTGATATCTGGGTACGCTTGTATTGAAATAGACGTAAGCTTCTAACCAAGCACTTCCGATTTCTTTTGATTTTGACCAGATGGGTTGCGAAAGCACATCCCCACTTATTAGACGTACATTCAAAGTTCCAATATCAGAGCCGTACCTTTGCAGAATAGAAATTCGTTTCATTAAAATTTGTTTCATATAGTAAATTGAAATACTTACATATGATACCAAAAATTGAGACAATCACCATCATCCGAGTTAATTACAATTGGTGAGACTAATCGAGCACGATCACCCTCTTGTCTTGGTAACGATGTTTCAATGTACATGTATGATCCGTTTCCAGTTCCTGTGGTGTGGTCTGAGAAAAAGAAGAATAACGAATGAAGAGATGTTAGGGTGATTAAATCTCTTGAGAAGTACTTACCGATTACTGGTCCTGTATCCATACTTTGCGTGTCACCCCTATGTCTTGTCCAGGCAAACTCGACGATGGTATCGTTGTACCATAGACATGTATTTTCCTCAAATGTACAATTCAGTGAACCATGTGGTGGTGGCTGTGCTGTGACGGGTGATGGAGTACTAGCAAGGGTGGATGGTAACGAATCGAGAGGTTGTGAACCACACACACCATCAGAAAACGAAATGTCATCCAATGATACATCACCATTATAATTTGAGCCGCTGCAACAAGAAAGAAAATGTAAGGTGCTAAACTAGTGAGATAGTGTAACATACCGAATGCTAACAAAAATAATCCTAAATAAAAAATAAAGATAAATATGAAGCAGTCGTATTTTAAACAAAAACATTTTTCTCACCTGAAAACTTTTGTGCCTTCAACAAAGCCAACTTGACCATATAACCACTGACTTCCTTTCTAGAGTAATGTAAAAAAAATGAAGATATCTTTAAAAAAGCAAAGAGAATACATTACATCGCCATCTTGTGCCCATAATGTGACGTTTGTTCCGCTTTGTTCTGGATATGGTCTCAATACAACTTGTAACACATGTGCTCCGTTCAGATGATACCAGAAACGTATACATTGTCCGTCCGTTGGTTGTAATATGTGACTTTCTAACCATGCCTCTTCTCCAGGTAGGCGAGGTGGTTCCGTTTCAATATAAGCATAGTGGCCATCCAACGATTCAAATGTGTGATCTAAAATTGTTCATATGACAGTTACTGAATAATATTTTTTCCTTAATATTAGTTTTCTAATTACCGGTGCTACTTCCATGAGTATGTGTTCGTCCAGTACCTATCTCCCAATCAAACTGATCAGTAGCTAAAAATAAAATGTGTACTGTACAAATCTTTCGAAAACACTTAGTTAAAACTCTTACATTGGACATTTTCCCAGGTGCACGTTGATGGTTCCGATTCGAAATCACAGTAGCCCAATGGCTGACATGAACGTGGCTCAATATTAACATCATCAATAGCAATATCCTGAGAAATAAAATCTATAAACATCTGTTTGGAAGTTAGAAAATGAACTTACTCCAGTGAATGATAAACCCGTTGTTCCTTCGAAAACAACTTGATATTCTCCGTTGACATTTTCAATTGTCATTTTGCCTACATTCCAACGATCACCCAAATTCTGTTTACTCATTTGCCATAGTATATTACCAAGGGCTCCATCTGACGTTTTTCTTACACGTATGTTCAAGTCACCTAAATCATTTCCATAAAAATGGTAGTACCATGTCACACAATGGCGATCGGTCAATGGTGGACTCAGTAATCTTGCGACATGGCCAGTGACTTGTGGAAAGGATGATTCAATATATAAATAATGACCCATATTGGTTCCGAGAGTGTGATCGATTGATGGACCTTAAATGCAAGCACAATTATAGTCTTAGATGATTATTAACTGATATACTACAACGGCTATTACCAGTGAATGAGCTTATTGTTCCACCCCTGGATCTTTCCCATTTAAAGTCAGCTGAAGGATCATGTGTATAACCACATAACGATGGATCTTCGAAATCGCATGTTGAACTTGAACAATGTTCATTTGCTAATACAATATCATCAAGACCTATAATACCAATGCTTCCTGGTTTAGCCACAGCTTCAAAAACAATTTTAAATGTAATTTTTGATGGTATATATAAATTTACAATATAACGATGCCATACTACTCCAAATGAACCTTGAAATGTAGATGTAGGAGTTGATGGTAAGTCTGAACCGACTTGTATATACCAATTGAGAGCTTCAACACCGTCACCATTCATATAATAATAAAATGAAAAGCAGTTATGCGATTCGGTCGATCGTGCTATAATTGGCGAGATAAGACGAGCTTTATCATCTTGTTGACTTGGAATTGTGTTCACTGATATATAAGATCCATATCCAAGTGTATTATCCCCTTGTGGACCTCCATTTGCGACAGCTGATGAACCTTGTACTCGGTTAAACGATAATTCTCCTGTTGGATCTTTTGTCCATCCACATTCGTTTGATTCAAATGTACAATCAAAAGTGCCTAAGGTTGATGTCACGGGCGGTTTAGAGGTAGACGGCGTTGTCGACAATGGATGCAATGTAGTTACATAACCGGGTTGCGCATAATATGGTTTCAATGGACAAGAAGAACTTGGAATTGTTTGAAATACAATATCATCTATGGCTATATCCCCGTCATAACTACTACCTACTGTTCCTTCCATAATCAGACGATATTTACTTGGCTCGGATATAAAAACATGTCCTTGATGCCATATATTTCCTCCTTGATCACTCGTAAGTGACCAAAGTATTTTCTCACTCGATGACAATGTACCACCGGGAGTTAGAACGGATGAAATTATGTTCAGTGTTCCAATACCTACTCCATACCTTGAATAATAAAATGAATTCATATAACATCAGAGAATTCTGTTGATAAGTTGAACTCACATATGATACCAAAATTCAAAACAATAATCATCAGAAATATCCAATGGGAGACTCAACAAACGAGCTCTATCTCCTTGAATAGCTGGAGAACTTGCTTCGATAAATGCGTATTGACCTGAAATTTTAATCAAGAAAAAAGCACACTGTAATAGTCTGATGGTTATCCTCTTCTTGAAAATTTACCGGCAGCTGTACCAATAGTATGATCAACTAATGGTCCGGTTGCAAAACTCGGTGTGTCACCGCGATGTAAAATCCATTCTAACTGAATTTGATTAGTATCTTTGACAGATATCCAGCTACAGAAGTCTTTATCTTCAAAATTACAATCGCCCAAATGGGGACACGACGAATTCAATAGCTGTGTGTCATCAATCGCTATATCGCCAGTCCATGACTTTCCAGCTAAACCTTCAAAAATGATCTAGAAAAGGCAAACAAATATAATAATCCGATCAAATTAACAAATTTGTACTTACCTGAGAATTTTTTCCTGCCAATAAATCAATTTGTCCAAGAAACCATTGATTGCCTTGATCATATTTTATTTGCCATTTTGGATCAGTGTATGGTGGTTGCTGACCATCATCGATAACATAAACATTGAGTGTGTTAATAGTTGCACCATACATATGATAATACCAACGAAAACATCTTGACGATGAAAGTTCAATTGATGGTGATATCAAACGAGCTGTTTCATTTTCCTGGACGGCTCCACTTGTTTCAATGTACATATAGTAACCTATGAAAAAATATTTATTGATATATTGAATTATTTATTAAACGTATATAGTACCGTGTTTTGTTCCTGTTGTATGATCACCAATACTTGGTCCTGTATCATCTGAGCTTGTTTCACCGGAATGACGCTCCCATTTAAAATTAGCGGTATCTAGAATACGGAGAGAATAAACGTTATACATGAAATTTAGATTCGCTTGCACTATAATACCATCATGTTTGTATGAACAAATATCCGCATCTTCGAAGTCACATGAAACTGAGGGAGGATTAGGCGGACATGGTTGATCAGTCCACATAGTGCGATCAATAGCAATATCTCCCTGCATACCGCGGCCAACAACAGCTTCGATTACAATTTGTGGATTCGTTTTTGTTACATATACACGTGCAAACTTCCACCTAGATACATAAAAAGAAGTCAATAAGCGGAAAGAAGAGATGAAAAGATAGATAGTTACTCATCGCCTTGATTCCCTTTTCTTGACCATAATGCACGATCAAATGTACTTTTGCCACTGTATATATTTAATTCATCCACATCAGGACCATACCTATTTAAAAAAGTTAAATTATATGTTCAATTGTGTCCTTAAATCCAAGAGTTTATAGTAACTAACATATGATAATAAAATGAGAAACACGACGAATTCGTTGAGCTTAAAGGTGGACTGATAATTCTTGCTTTATCACCAGGTAGTTGCGGATAGGATGTTTCGATGTAAATATACCAGCCATCTAATAAAGAGAAAGCGGTGATTTTGCCTTCCTTTATGGCTTTTTCTCTCCTAATAAACATACCAGATTCTCCATTGGCGTCTGTGGATGGTCCCGTATTTAAACTATCTGTGCTTCCTTGATGTCTTGTCCATGGAAACGTATTCGGTGTTCCTGCTGGATCAGCTGGTCTCCATGCACAAAAATCTTTTTCAAATCCACAATTAACTGTTGTTTGATCACTTGGTGCCGCTTTATCGGGTTTGACGCCACAGTCTTCATTTGTAAATACAACATCGTCAATGGCCAAATCTCTAAATTATTTGTACAGATTTGCTTCAACATTTAATGATCTAAAATTTCCACAGTTCATGTTCCTTACCCCAAAAATCCTTTGCCAACAATTCCTTCGATAATGACCTTAGAAGTAAATGAAATATCGATAAATATTATATAACGTATCAATATATTTTTATTAACTTACTTGCATTGGCCCATTTCTAGCTATTGTCACTTTTCCTTCATTCCATTGATTACCTTGATCTCCCGTCAATGTCCAAAGTAAAAGATAAACATATTCTTGTTGCGTTGATGATCCCAAATATTTTGAATCAATGTTTAATGTGCCCGTATCGCTACCGTATGCATGGTACCAAAATGTCATACATAACGGATCTGTGCTATTCGATGTAAATACTTCACTTATTAAATGGGCTTTTTGACCGAATACCGCTGGTGCACTTGTTTCAATATACGCATATTTTCCGTTACCACCTGTGTGATCTAATAAAAAAAAGAGATTAATATCAATGGAGACAAATAATTGTCATCGTATAAGTATGAAATTACCTTGAGTTGGACCAGTATCAGAAGAACTTGTTGAACCTTCGTGTAGCGTCCATTGCATTTGAACAGATGTATCTTTCACATTTGTCCACGTACAAAAGTCAGTATCAAAATCACAATCAAAAATGCCCGTACATTCACCTGGTATTAAACTAATATCATCCAAAGCACTAGATGCATGACCCCCAGCATTTGTTGTTATCAAATGGCTTTCAAAGACAACCTATTCGATAAAAAAATAATATTAGAAATGTTTTATGATAATCAAAGCATATTAGACTTTTACCATAAATTGGTCATATGTATCCAGATTAACTCGTGCTATTCTCCAAAGCGAACCCTGTTCAACTGTTGTGCTCCATAATTTATCACTTAGTACATTCGATTGTATGATGCGAACATTGAAATCAACATTTCTCACACCGTTTGCATTCCAATAATAAAACTGTAAACAATATTTTCCATGCTGTTTCATGGAAACAGATTTCATTTGAGTATTGATAGCATCTACATTAGATCCAGACGTAAAACTCGGTGTAAACATGTAGTGACCGTACGGTGTTCCATATGTGTGATCATTGCCGGGTCCACCTGATAATGAACCGGATTGACGTTGCCAAATATACGTACCGCCATCTGTGGATGTAATGGTATAGCCACAAATCGAGTCAACTTCAAAATCACATGAAATTTCAGCAGGTTCTGGTGGGCAAATATTGTCAAAGTAAGAAATATCGTCAATGGCAATATCACCATAGAAACTATTTCCTGCTACACCTTCCAGAACAAATTCAAAGTCTGTTTTTACTTTTTCTGGTGGTAAATGAATACGAGCACGATTCCAGCTAGAAACGAGAAAGTTTTCAATGAATGGTGGAAGAAGATGACATTAATGGTAAATACCTGTTGCCAATATTTCCAATTCTTTCCCATATTGAATCATTTAGTGATGTTTCATTTAATGCACGTACATAGACAGATAAACGATTAATATCTTCCCCATACATCGAATACCTGTGAGACAAAAGGAAAAAGAGTAAACTGATGCAATAGAATCACTCAAATGTATTTACCAAAATTCGAGACATGTATCACTTGTTTTTGCACTAACTCTTGTGCTAATCAGACGTGCCTTCCATAGAGGATTGGTGGGAAATGATGTTTCGATGTAGATGTAATAGCCATCTGAAGATTAATACAATCAGAAAGGTTAGTGATAAAATTAAGTTGACTTACTTTTATTTCCGAGAGTATGATCGACAAGTGGACCTTAAATGATTATAAATGATGTAAGTTACTGAAAAATATAGAATCAAGCATTCATTCTACTTACCAGTTTGAAAACTAATAGTTTCGCCTTTTTGTCTTGTCCATTGAAAATCACCTGTAGAATCATTTTTCCAATCACAGAAACCGTTTTCAAATGTACAACTCACGGCACCATCAACAGGCGCTAAAAATGAATAAGAGAATGAAATGTGCATTTTCTAGAGTGCTGAAGAACATACGTCTGAACGTTGTTGACTGAATATCGGGTGATGCAAATGGTGGTTTAGCTGTACAATGAGTATTGTCAAATGTAATATCATCGATTGATATTCCATAGTCTTGATTAAATCCACCACCAATTTGAGCTTCAACAACAATCTATTGTAAAAAGAAACACGCTACTTCAACAAAAAATTTGTGACTTAAAATGATAAACATACATAGAACGGTTCGTTTGAATTCACCGGTATTCGTCCTTCTAACCAATCATCGTATTGTGGACCACTAACTGACCATAACAATGTTTCTTTTGCTGTTGTACTAGCAGATTGATAAACACTTAATGTGCCCAAATGTTGTGCTGAATTTGCCATATAATACCACCATTTCATACACAACGGCTTATTAACAGTGGGATCAAAAATGGAACTCGTTAAACGAGCTCGATCCAGTGGTTTCGATGCTGGCGTCGGAATAATGTAAAGATATGCACCTATCGAAAAAAAACACAATATTTACTGTATACAACAAAGTGGGTTATTGAAAAGTGTGTGGCATAATTTGACAAAATACCCTGATCGTCGCCGATTGTATGATCTTCATTTGGTATGTTTCCATTTGGTCTTGATTCATTTTTTTTCATGATCCATTGTAATTCTGCGTTTTGATCAACAACCCACATACATTTATCACTTTCAAAATCACAGTCTGTCACACGTGTACATGGTGCATCACGAAGACTGATATCATCAATACTAATATCTCCTGTTTGATATATTAAAAAGACAAATAGAGACATTAAAGTCAAGTAGTTCAATATCTTTACCTAATGCTCCATCTCCTCTGACGCCTTCAAATACCAGTTGAAAATTTTCATTTGGTTTAAATGATGCTAGGCCAATTACCCACTGATCTCCTTGATCATATCGTGAGGAAAAAATTGGTTGACCCATAATATTATTTTCTTGCATGTATACATTTAATGTGCCAATATTCCGACCAAACATATGCTAAATATGAAACAAAATCATTTTCAAACAGCAACATCAAGTTTTGATTTTAGTAAAAAACATCGATCTCGAGAAAAATACATGGTTAAATAGAGCACTCTTTTTAATGAATTACTTTCATCTCTGTAACAACGTCTTTTTTATGGTTTGTAAAAAGTTTTATAACTCGTTCCTGTATCTCCTTTTTTTAAATCGAGTTTCATCTTCGACGCTTTTAACGTTTCAAAGATTTCTCCTTTCTCTTTGATGCTATGAAGTTCAAGATAGTTTTGTTTTGTAGAAGATACTTGAGCGTCAAAACTCTTGCAGAACTGTTTTAGAATTTCTGAGATAAATTATCAATTTGACAGAAAAATGGAACTTTCAAAGATTCGACTCTGTGATATTGTAAATCCAAATTTCTTCTATAAAATAAAGACATTTCGAAGGTTTAACATCATGAGAATAAGGAGAAATCTTTAAAATGAAATCCTATTCTGGTCGATGCTATGCTCGTATCTAACAAATCAAATAGGCTTACGTAATAAAATTCGACACAATATTCTTTGGATACACTTTCAATCTGTAGTTTAGGTGAGATGAGACGAGCTGTGTCATTGAGCTTTCGTGGAGTTGATGATTCAAAAAGCATATAATGACCATAAGTAGTACCCAGAGTGTGATCTAAATTAACCCAAAAATGTTAAGAATTTGTTCTATACAAGAATAAATATTTCTCACCAAAACTAGGACCCGTTTGTCCTGTCGATGTTGTTCCTGCATGTCTTGACCATGTAAAATCAGCGTTGGGATCATCTGCATAACCACATTTGGAAAATTCAAAATCACATGAAATTATTTGATTAGCTAAAAGTGAAATTGTTAATTTAAAGAATGAAGTGATTGATTGTATAAAATTTTACTTTCAGGACATTCTCCGTCGGTAAATGCGACATCATCTATTGCAATATCACCCCAAAAACTTTTGCCAACAATCCCTTCAAAAACCAATTCAAATTGTTCTCTACTCGTTTGTAGAAGTACTTGATTCCAGCTATAAAATAAAATAAAATTATACGTTTTGTTAGATATTTTATGCATATAACTGTTACCTATGCCCTTTATCGCCGCTCATTGTAAATACTGGTAAACCTAAATTATTTGCTTTTCGAAAATAAACATTTAGGGTTCCAACATCTTCTCCATAAGCATTGTACCAAAATGATAGACATGATTGATCTTGAGTTGGTGTTATCGTTGGACTAATTAAGAGAGCGGTATCATTCGGTTTGGCTGGTGATGATGTTTCAATGTAGATGTAAGTACCAGAGGCATTTTGAAATGTGTGATCTAATCATCAAAGAATAATAAATAATAAATAATATAGTGGATTCATGTTAATAACTGAAAATATACTCACCATAAGAAGGTCCCGTATTTACTGATGGTGGTGGTCCTTTATGTCTAATCCAAGTAATGGCTGTTCCACTAGCATTTGTATAACCACAAAAATCATTTTCAAAATCACAATCAATTATAGAAGCACGTAGTTGTCTTTTTGATCGATAATGTTGTTGAGAGATTTTTTCGATACCACAGATACCATTGATGATTGTAATATGTCGTACATGTATAGAACCGGTTGAGTTTTTCGATATGATACCGTCAATGTAGATCTATCAAGTAGTAAACATTTAATGCAGTGTTAAAAAAGAGAAATGGTTTACATACTGAAAATGGCTCGTTGGCGATAAGTGAGATGTGAGCAGTATGATAGCCTTCATTATCATTGCCCTCTTGAAGCGATGTCCATAGTTTTTTATTACGAGCTTTTATGTGTTTTAAACCAATATTGATCGAAGATGATGATGGTGAATCAAGTAAGTATTCAAATCGGAAACATTTACCACCAGCTAATGAAAATGGACTCAGTAAACGAGAGGATGTTCGTCTTCCAGTTGCTTCAAGAATGATTGCTAAAAAATCAGAGAATTTGTACATTTATCTTCAATCAACAGTGTCATCTAAGGAATATACCTTCTTCTGAAATTGTCCATCGAGTCGCTGATTCTTCTGCATTATTCCAGTTTCTCAATACGTTTATTTTTTCTACAGATTCGGATGGACATGGATGATTTAAAAATAATAAATCGTCTATGGCCAAAATCGCCTAGATTTAAAACAAAAGTCAAATAATGACATTCAGATGTCTATCACTATATACCTTAGATGTCTTTCCTTCGATAATCAATGAATAAGGTTTATCTTGAGTAATTTCAACATTTGCTGTCGCCCATTCATTGAATTGTACAATATCGATCGCCGATATTGTAGAGCTGAGTCCCTGTTTTTCTATCGACACTTTCAATTCAGTAACGTTGTTATTGCTGTTTGACTGATCGTGTAAGATGTAAAGAAAGCTTAGACATTGTGACGTGAACTCCTTGCTCGGTTGAATGATAGGAGATACTAAACGACCATGAGAATTTGATTCGAGGTACAAATAATGACCTAAAATAAAATAAAAAAAGAATATGTAAGTACTAAGAGTACAATTACTTGTTAATAGATAAAAATTGGCGCATAAATCAAATAAATAGAAATCTCGAAATTAGTGTACTTCATTTGTTTTTAAATGTCTTTCTCTTTCTTACGAGAAAGAGGAAAATGTTTACTTACCGTTCAATAACCGAGTTGTATGATCTTTAAATTTTACAGTTTTTGGTGTTGATGTTCGCAGCCATTTCGTAATCAAACTATGATCATTTTTGTAACCACATAATGAAGTTTCAAAATCACATAAGCCAATAATATCATCTACAGTGGAGGAGTTGAACTTATCTAAATTTAAAGTAGAAAGAATAAGTAACATTCTAATTGAATGTTGAAAAGAAGATAAACCTCTTCCATTGGGATGTTGTACAATAATAGTCTTTGTTGCACCTAAGACGAAAAAAGCAAAAAATTTTACAATAGAAGGTTGCGCTCGAGTAAATGCAACGGTATATGTATGTAATAATTTTTCTTTTTCAGTTTTCAGAATAAACTCTGATTGAAACGATATTGTTTTAAAACTTGTGCTTATTCTACATGCGAAACAAAATCGCCGTCTATTGTCAGTTATTACTAGACATCCACGATTTTTTCCTTCTACCACTCTTATCCAGAATTGGAACCAGTTAAAAAAAGTTCATCCACATGGAAGCGGCTGATAACTGATTGATTGAAAGGTTTGGATAACATGGCAAAAAATCAACGAAAAGCGACCGGTTTAAAGGGAATAATTAACCGGTAAAACAGTTTATATTTTTTTAAAACAAAGTATTATTTTTTAATAACATTATTGAACTTCTTATCGAATGAAAACATATCGATTTATAAAATGTAATAAAAATAACCTTTTATTCGATTAAAAAACTTAAGAAAGTTCTTGGTCATAAACTGGCGTAAACCAATGGGTTTAAAAGTTCAACTGTCCAGTTCGGTACAGTTTGTTGGTCTGGTTCCAACTCTACTTTCGTCTATGAGGTGTACATGATCCGTACTAGAGATCATGTATTGCAATTGTGATGGAAGGACTATGCGCTGCATTTGTTTGCTTCTTAAATAAAATAGTGTTTTGTACGTTTTACAGATAGCCGTGCGTTTTGGTCCATATTACTTTTCTAGATCCATTTCCTTTACAAAACTCAAAAGATACAAGCAACCGTTTTCGATATTACTTCTTGTCATTTGTCAGTTTATGTAATTCAGTGTGCTTTGTAAACTGTGACAAATCACAAAAGACTTATTTTGTTTTGAGGTTATCTTAGAGATCCTGTCTAGAGAATAAACTGTCAGGGTCACGTACACCGGAATGAATATCAGAGGCAATCAACATCTTTAGCAATCTGAGAAAACGAGAATTTTGTTTAGAAGAATACGGGTTTACTTGACATGGATTTCCTAGTGACATATCGCAATGGATCACGATCGAGGCTGAAAATTAATTATTTTCTACTTACCAACAGCAGCGTTGAGAGCAATAAAAATAAGAATGTATTTATACATATGTAATGTTACTGCACATAGTGATATAATTATAAATATCTATAATAAAATAGTCAATAATTTTTACAGAGTAAAATTTAACCTTAGTAAAAGATTAATTATTTAAAGAAAGATCCGTATTGTTTGTCTTTTTTACTTATGCTACAACAATATAAGAAATTATTATAGATGAGTCTTTTCTCTTATTATTTTTTTCTATTATACTTTTATCTCAAGTTTGTTATCAAGCAAATAAACAAAAAAATTCGAGAACAGGGTAGCATATTTTTATTGCATGTTCCTTTCATCAAGATGTTTAGATAGTTAATCTTTATACTTAGCACTGTAGCAGAGAACGTCGGATGATATTAACGTGCAAGAAAAAAATTAAATGAGAAACACTTTTTTTATCGGATGTGTATGAGAGAAACACAAATCACATTGACGGACGGTTTAAATAAAAATACTTCGCGCGTGCAATTATATTTAATGAAAAAAATAAATTTAAACTTCAGCAGTTAGCAAATAAAAGACAATCATAAGATATTTTTATGTAGTTTAGAAAAAACTTCAATAATAATGTTCAAAAACAATGGCAAATTAGTAGAGGATGTTAATTATTATTCATTTCGTTGAGTATATGTGTAAAGAAGGCATTTTACCTTATCTAACTAAAATGACCCCTTTAAGCACGACTGAAGGTGAATGACTAGGTGGAAGGACAAAACGTCGTTATAATTTCCTTTTGATTGAAATACATTTGTATGCAGCATGTACTTATCAGCGTTGCTCCTGTGGTGCAAAAAGTGTGAAAACTTCCGTGACCTCTACTAGGAGTAGCAAGCCTTTTGGCAAAAACACTGGCGCGACTATATTTCTACAGCCTTGTCTACTAACATTCTTGCCTATTCTAAACAAGAAATTAAGACTATGTAAACCCCACATTTTAATGATATAAACCTCAACATTTCCCGAGATCCATTTTCGAATAGGATTCTCTCTATAAAAATAAACTTCAAACTTCCATCTCCCTCGGAGAACGAATATGTCCTTGGAATTTTTCACAAAATAATTCAAGTCCCTCAACTATAGACTTTCAAGTCTATCGAAATCCGCGTAAATCCTAACGGACTTTTGTAGCCGCATAGAGCTGAATAGACTTTAGAAATCCGTGGTAGCCCATTGGACTTTAGTAGACTTTATAAGTCCATTTAAATACACATAAGATGACTTAAATTCATTAAATTTCGCAAAAGTCTAAAAATCCAAAGTTTGCTTTTTCCCCATTGAAATGCCCTTTTGTAATATATCACCTCTGAATTAATCATCCAGTATGTGACATTTACGAATGCTATTTGCTTTGACTTTGATTTTTTGACCTTTAGGAACAAGTGCACAAACGGACAAAATTAAAATGTTTTTTAGTATGACGAAATATCGAGTAAACAATTTCCTGTAAAATCAGTGATTTCAGAGCTCTGAGCGTCCTTGTATTCAAATACTGTACTAGTGTCTCCAATTAAACCTAGGCTTATGAGGTTGTTACTAAGTAAGTGCAGAACTCCGATAAAAAATTATGCAGAGATCCGTAACATCTTGTTTTCTAATGAAACAAGGTCTTCACATTTTTAGTAATTCAAAAAACATCAGAAAAGTTTAAAATGATGAAAAAAAGAGTGTTAATACCCTCGGTGGTATGTGCGTAACTTATATACCGTTACGATAAAAATATGCAGAAATTTCAAATTTTGTCTTCAGTCATCGAAAGTTTTATGAATTACTTGATGAAAACATCTAAAACTTCCAACAAATTTTAAGGTTTGATCTACCTCCTATTTATGATCGCTACATTATATTTGGTCTCTAAAGCAGTTCGTAGAAATAACCTCTTTAACTTGAAGCTGTTAATTATTTTGAATCTCTTATCTTCCGAAGCTACAAGTAGCCCATGCTATTTTAGTATTTCAATAATCAATTAATAATTATGATTAATTAGTTTTAGTTTAATAATTCACATAATTGAGAACTTAGAAGTAGCTGAAAAACTGACTATATCAAATAATATATCTATTTGAGAAAACTATAGTAGAACACAATCTAGAAATTCATAACTGTAATTGAAAATCAAATGCATAAACACTCACTGAACATCGTTGAATCTTGTTCAGCTTATATCCCTAGTGAAGCTTTTTTTCTGAAGAACATGAGATGCCATACCTCAAGATTTGTCTCTATGCACATGAGTTTCTGACTCATGCAAAACGCTTGAGGTATGTGCTTAACTTTCTTGTCTCATGCACTTGAGTTGCTTGAAGTATGTGCATGAGAGGATAATATCTAAAACAATCTGCATATCTCAAGAACCCATGCGTGAAAGTCTTATAGAAAAAACGCCAAAAATGGCCGTCCAAGCGGTTCTGCCCTCAGCAGAAAAACGTCCTGAAACGAAGTTTTTAGTCACATTTGTACCGGAAAGAATCGCATCGAAAATGGTCCATCTTCTAAATCGTTTTCTTTTTCTAAACCACCCAGAACTGCGTTTCTCCACAAGTTTTACCACATTATTGAAACGATAAGAACCGCAGTTTTCAAAAGCTTTTTGAAGAGGAAAACTGCTTCGAACTGCGTCCCAGTGACGTTATTTTAACAAGCGCATACCTGAAGAAACTCATGCTTAATCGATCTCTAGAAGGCTTTCAGCCCGTTACGCTTGATTCCACTATGTTTTACTCGGAAGTTTCTTCGAGAACACGGTGAAATCAATCTTTAATGTTTTCGTCAACCAGGCGATGCTTCCATTATGCCACAATCTCTATCTGAAAAGGAAAAGTCAATATTACCACAAAGTCAGAGAAAGTACACAGCAATTTCAGCCTGCTGTTCTTCTACTTTACATAAACACCTTCTAGTATCATAGTGATAATGTTGAAGTATCTGATTTTCGAGAAGCTGTGGAGTCACCTTTCAGAAACATTTCTTGTTCAGGTAAACTAAGTTACACTTCGCTGTATTTCTCAATTCTGATTTAATCAATATATGATTGAAAATGATCTTGATTAAAAGTGAATAAGACCAATGTTTCACAAGTATATTCACTTGTGAGTTTTACCATTAGGGTTACGTTTGCCGTATGTGAAGCATCGAGCATTCACGCTTGAACCTTCAAAGGGTGCATACGCGTGGATATTGTCGCTAGAACCATTTTAGCATCCTGTGAATGGGGCGAAATGGCTAGGCCCCAACTCTCTGTGCGTCAAACAGGAGCGATCTTACACCAGAGATACTCACATTTGTGAAGACATCAGCCTTTGAGGCATTTTCTTACTTCTGTGCAATTTTATTTTGAGATTGCACAATCACTGCCCACGTGAAACATAACTGACATTTAATAAGCCATGCAATGGGTTTTAAATGTATACCAAAAAAACTGACTTTTAACACCCAAATAACTGTTTAAAAACTGCCAGGTAACAGTCATTTTATTGTCTGTTATGTGACTGTTAATAAAGGTTCGAGAAAAGGCATTTAACATCCCACAAAATGTTGAAAAAAAGGCAGTTGACAATTGCTGTTTACAGTAAATATTTTTGGTGTTATAATGGTAAAAAACAGGCACTTAACTGTGCATTCTAAAGTGTAAAATAGCTGTCACAGTTCAATGGCTATCAACAGGCCATTCATCAACTGCGAAAACGGTGGCATTTAAAATGGCTGTTTAATTCATCCTTTTATTTTGCAATCATGAGTGATATATGTATATAACTCATGTTATATCACTGAAATTTGGAAGAGTTTTGCAAAGTTTTCTCTTCGCCGATTGTACGAGTCATCAAAACTTGTCTCGTGGAAGTCGCCGGTGGTTCTGGATCCATTGATGGCACCGTGGATCTAAGGTACGAAAAATGTCAACAATTTTGGAAATCACTATATTTGGGATACAAATCAAAAAAATTAATCAAACAAAACGTTCGATAATTGACCGTTAACAGCCAGTAATGGTGCAAAAACAGCCATTACTTGATGCTATTAACTGCCTATTTTCGGACAGTTTTCAGCCAATTAAAAAATGCCATTATAAGGCATTAAAACGTTCCCATTTATAAGGTGTAAAAATAACCATTTAATGACTATTTCATTAACCGGCATTCAACAGACAATTAATTATACCGTTTTCGACGTTCTAGGTGTACTTAACTTAATCTATACAGAAGGAGATATCTTGGATTTTATGCATCATTTGAGAAAGATAACCTGGAAAGATAAAGAGATTTCGTAATATGACCCAAGAAGGATATAGTTCAACTCGCCGACCAAGGAGAAACTAGAAGGATTTATTTCTCTTACTTAGTTGGTATGTGTTTGTAAAGAGAAAGGTTCTAGTCTATATATACAACGGTTATTCTTTCTTTTTTTGAGAAACATTGTTATATAGAATATATATACACACACGTCTACTCAGCTGTTTCGATAATGAAGTAGGCGCTTGACCTCAAGAAACTCAAGCACATCGATTCCTTGATTCAAGAGGTCAGCCACATGAGGCAAAAGAATTGCTTGAGAAGTCAATGAGATATTCGAGCGCTTGAGATACGAATTTCATGTTGATGAGTTTCTTGAGATACGATACTTATGCACATGAGTCAAGACAGTTAAGTATATGACTTCCGAAAAAATGTGTTTTGCATGACTAAGAAATGTCTCCACGCTCCAATATATATACGCAAAATTCATTCGGCTAAATCGCGTGTATAACTATCTATTCCAAAACAGAATGAATATGGGCGTATTATAAATTACTATTTGAACAGTGGAACGGAGAGATTTGCGGTATTTTGCAGATCGGAGGACATCTTTTCTTTTTATAGAAGATAGAATTTTCAAAAGGTTTTTGTAAAATCTTTTGGTGCTACAAATATTGATATAATACCGCATTCATTTTCTCATATTTACAGATAGTCTAAAGCATGTTCAGACATATACCAGTTAACATGCTGTTTTTCTGATTTCAACGCTCATCTAATTCGTGAACAATTAACACCGAATAATCATTTATATGGTATTTCAGAAATAAGAGAGCACTTTTTTCTTGGATGTCACCATTGTACTTTCTTCAAAGCTGCTGTGATAAAACAAATCCTTGATTCGATGCTACGAAAACTACGAATTAATCTAAATATTTCATATTTTCATATTCATAGTTTACCTGAACAAGAAATGTTTCTGAAAAGGTGACTCCATAGCTTCTCGAAAATCAGATACTTCAACATTATCACTACGGACACTAGGAGATGTTTATGTAAAGTCGACAAACAGCAGGCCGAAATTGCTCTGTACTTTCTCTGACTCTTTGTTAATATTGACTTTTCCTTTTCAGATAGAGATCCCAGCGTGAAAGAAAATATGCATTGCTATTTTCTGTTTGATCTATGCAGAACAGGCAACAGAACAAATTAACAGATGTCGCTAGTTTACACCATTCGTTTTTAACAGTTGCACACACTTTCAGTGTAGAATCTTGTTCTTTTCTTGTACCTTTTACAGCATATATGGAATCTCCGGCGCGGTCGGTGTTGCAAGACCGCTGCACGATAAGTAGGACGACGATTACTTCTTTTTATTAACCATACAGTCATTGCCATATAACAATATACACATGAGACGCCAATTTTAAACGGCTTCTGTTCCCTAGGTAGTCCAAAATCCATTGATGTGCACTGCCTTTGTAACTATCTCCAACACGAAATCAATGTTATTAGTCTTAATAGTCCTGCAGTAACATCGCCACTGCTAGTATACAAGCATGAGTCTAGCCATCTTTAATTGTTCTTGATTCTTGTCAGAAGTAACTTTAAACTCATTTAACTATAGAAACTGTATTGCTGTTTGAAAATAAATTCCTTTTTATGCAAATATTATTTTTGTTAAAAGCCATTTGTTTTCTCCTTTATTTCTATGATTTCATATGCAGCATGTGAAATCTTATGATATGCTTCGAAAAAGTGGTGTATTTTTTATTTTATATAAACCTTTTATATCAAAGAAGAAATAACAAGACAAATCGAGACAGTTGTCACATTACATGTTCATAGTTTGCTTTCAAATAACATTAGAAAATTAGGCACTTTTGCCAAGCTGCACCAAATTAGATAAAAATTGGGCGCTAGATGCAAAATTTTTCGGTGCATCGGACATTTTCTAATGTAAAATTTGCCTGTTTTCTTCTAGAGGAACGACCCTCGAACTTTTTACACATTCGGAACCAGCGTGACGAGTTACGTTATAGGGCGCAAAGATCTCGTCAGGGTCCCGGCAGATCCATCCAGATTTTATGAAGTATTTTATCAAGCCTTGAAGAGAAATTCAAGATTTATTATCTCGATTAAATTTTATTAGAGTCATAAAGAAAGCTACTGGTAATAGTAAAAGGAAAAAAGGAAAGAATGATTGATTCCGTCAACAAAACAACAGGTATCATGAGTCTTAGATGTGACCGCTATGTAAGTCGAAATTACCGAGCGGTAATCGTCTGATATTTTCTAATTATGAATGCGTAGAACGCTTGGGAACTAGTTTTCAACTTTCGCTTTTTGATATTATCAAGCGTTTAAGCGCATGAAGGCTCCCAGTATTGGGAGAAAATCTGACTCGAGTCGAAGTTCAAACTTCGAAGAGACTATAATCTAAAAAAACGTTAGTCTGAAAAAAGTCAACTTCTCTGAAATATTCCGTGTTTCTTATATACCTTTACGGACTCAAGAATTACTTTCAATAATTTCGACTTACATGGCGATATACCTCGAAGTAGATTGGGTAGTAACCGGGTGGTATTTTGCCAGTATTAATGGCATGAAATAAATAAAAAAATATCAAAAAAATCGAATCAGTATTTTGCCTGTACTTGCACGATGTCATTAACCAATTATAACAAACAACTTCCATCGTTTACCTACAAAACACAGTGTAGAATAGCAAAAATTATAGTATCATATCGGGATGTATTTCAGATTTTAAAAAATTTAAATCCACACAAAGTAGTTTTAGATGAGCTAACTACAAATGCTTCGTTAAAATAGACTCATGTGTTAATCGGTTAATCACGCTCATTCACTACATTAATGAAGGAATAGAGGATAACAAATTTTGTGAGAGCGGTATTTTTAGACTTTTCGCGTGCATTTGATTCAGTTTGGCAGGAAGGATTACTGTTTAAACTAAGGCAAAAAGGTGAGGTCAGAACAAGTTATATAGTAGTTAAAAAGTTATTTACATCTGAGAAAAATTAGCGCAGTAGTCGGCTGCGTCTCAGACGAGGAGATCACCAACTGTGGCGTTTCTCAGACGAGCATTCGTGTCTCTGTTGTTTCTCATATTTATTGATGACCTTGGAGACTGCTTAGAGTGTTATTAAAATTATTTGCTAATGACGCTACATTGCTCGATACTCACTCACCATATGCATATTCTACTGACAGATTAAATAATGACCTAACCAAAATAGTAAATTGGTGCGACACATGGCAGATTAATGTAAGAGAAGAAAAAGTACTATTTTCATTGAATATCTATCTATATTGACTCATACGTCATTAATCGTAGATGTTATATGCATTCTCTTGCTTTCCTACTCTGGGAAACAAACACAAACGAACATTTTCTTTGATCAGAGCTGGAC